ATCATTTTCATAATACATATCATGAGCCCATCTTAGAATATCATTTCATTAGAATAATATCTCTTTATAGATACCTTAAAATTTGGCTTTTCAATGAATGTTCTAGAAAGATAGATAAATACAAACAAAAGCTTGCCTCTTTGTTGCAGCTGTTAAAGGTATTTCTTTGAATTTAAAAAAAAATCTCACCTTCAACTCTCAAATAACCTTTCCTGGGGAAATTATAAGTAAAGCTGTTATCTCTTTGGTTTTTTATAGAATACCCGTCTTGTCTTCATATTCCTCATCGTCCTCGCCTTTACTCCACGCCTCAGAATCTACTTTATGACATACTATTAAGTGTGATTTTTACCCTTCCCAGAAATGTTTAACTTACCACCCAGGAGCCTTCCCAGAAAGTATAACCCGCTTCAGCATCCCCCAAGCTTATATGTGGCACCTAGCTTTCAGCCTAGAATCTTAGGCTTCTTCTTATTGGTTAGAATCTTCCTTGAAAGAGATGGCTGAGCAATAATTGGCTTGGAATAATATTGTAGGCTCCGCCCAGTCATTAGCCCTGAGAAACCTTAAGTACTACATCAACTAGTAACTAGTAGTAAACCATTAATCCTTTTAGACAGAAAGTAAAATAAAATTTCTTTAATTCATAAGGGGAGTTGGATTGCTCAACAGAAATCATCCAACAAAATCTGAGCAGCGCTTCACTTGTTAGGGGCTAAGTAAATTGAATCCCGTCATCTCATTTCACGTGACTCCTAGTGAGCTCCTATTGTTTAGCATGTGCAGCAAAATATAGTCCTCCAGAGATAATTTCTATGCGTTGTAACTCAAAATTGGTATTTGAGACAATTTTATCTTGCTTATAGTAGATATTACCTTGACTCTTCTTGCATGAGAAGTGAGTAGATTGAGAGTAGAATCAATAACTTATTGAAAATATTTCTACCTAGTGGGAAACTCAAGCAGGAATCAAACTGTGGGTAAGTTTCCCCGTGGCACTGTTGAATGACCTGTTTGTCTCCACCTGGTAAAACAGTTTTATCAAACCCAGTTTTTGAGTTTTGTTGAGGGAAAGGTTTTGCTCGAATCTGTGTTGTGGTGATTATTAAGGCAGCACAAACAATTCCTCTGTGCAGATTCTGTCATTGGTTTTCAATCAGGATGATTGAATGAGTCCTCTTTGTGTTTTATAAGAAACTATCCAAGTGAGTTCCAGTTGCCTGAGCAGCACAGTTGTGGAGTCATAGAGTGGGTAGGAGCAAGTCCCTGGAGTCAGGATGCTCGAATCACAGCCCGGCCCTGCCACTTCCCATCTGTGTGAACTCTGGCAGGTGACTCAAACTCTCCATGCCTTAATTTTCTCATCTGTAAAATGTGGTGGTGGATAATAATGTTACCTACCTTGTTGTAGAGTTATTGTGAGGATTAAATGAGTTAATTTGTGTATAGGATTTCGAACAGCACCAGTTTGTACTAAGCTCTTCCTTTTATTTTGGCAATGTTTACAATTGACTGGTGAGTTTTACTTAGTCACATCCAAGATTCTGGAGTGAATCATTAGAGACTGGAATAGGTACTATGCCTATTAAAATGGGGTGGAGGGGGAGTTAAGTTGGTGAACAGATACTGGATTGTAGAAAGAGATCTGGAGGTACCTAAGTAAAACCCTTTAGATGCACTTAGTCAGGTAAATGTCATGCTAATCAGTCAGGCTAATGTCATGAGGCTGTATCAGAAATAGAGGCAGAATTACAAGCATGTACCTATAACTCATTCTACCCTTAAAGGCCACCAGTACAAGGCATTTATTTGTTTGAAAAAGAGTTATGAGTCCCCATATTGGAGGTAGTAAGGCAGAGGAATTAGTCACATTTCAGATTCAGCTGGTGGGGCTGGTTATGCAGACCAGCTAAGATAGGGCTGGGACCCCAGTCAAGGCCTGTTCACTGGCCCAGGCCAGCACCTGCGAATTTTACTGTCAGTTATTTCTGCCACTTCTAGTCTCCTTTTCCTTCAACCAGTCCCTGAACCCCAGCCCTCTTTCAGAAGCCCACCTATTTATTCTTTTACCTTTTTCTTCTACCAAAGGCTGTGAATGTCTCTGAGAGCAGTCAATTTCCTTTTTCCTTGCTGACTGACTGCCTAACTATGGACGGTGTAGTGTGAATTAGTTTTAGTCTTGGTCTTACATCAACCAGACATTTTCATTTTAAGCCTTTTATCTCTAAAATGAAAGTCTTTGTTCTCTATTAAGGGGATTCAGGCATTCTGGAGCAGATGGGAGATGGTTTGGGGGATGTGGACGAAATTACACCATTCATAAAGCCAACTTTGAAAGGAAAACCCGATTTAGACCTTCCAGATAGGTGAATAAGGGAAGAGGAGGGAACTGTCTGGAGGTACACTTCTCTACCTTTTCTCTTGTTCTCCTTGACAGGGCTCTTGGGAAGGGGCAGCTAGGGGATGATCTGGCTATGACCTTGGACATCTATTTCTAGAAGGATTAACATTTAATGAAATTTCCGTGTTGTATCCATACTATAACTGCCCTTTGTATCTTTTATATTGTTTCTGGCTCTGAAAATACAGATATTGAGGTCATTTCCTCCTCTTGTCCCTCCAAAAAAGTCTAAGACACACTATAGGCCACACATAAGTGCCGTGAATGAAGACTCTTTTGGTTAAAGTAATTTCTCTTTACTGGGATTGGAAATAACTTTATAGTGGAGCTGATGACATCTCAGAGGTTTGTGGGTGTTGAACTTTCAGAAACAATGCTCATACTTTATAAAAGTTTCTTGTCTTTTGGTTTTTGGAGTCTTTTCTTCTTTTTGAAATAAAGATCTAAACTTGTATTCTAATCAACAAAATGTAGGGTCTTGTTGAGTGCCTTCTCTGGGAGATAAATGGAGCATCTGGTACTTGAACATATATTTTAGCGAGTACTTTTAAAAGTCTGAGTCATAGAGGAGATGCCTAGTGTCCTGAGAACATACAACTTTCAGTGTGTCCAGCTGACTTGGCTCAATGAAGTGTTCTGGGGCCAAGTTAACTGGCTACAAGGTGTCCCAGGTAACATTCCTATACCTACTTGGGTGACAGAGCCTCCTTGAGGTGTGGATTTGGTCCAGAAGATCCATAGGCAACACAGATGTGTTATAAATCTACTAGCAGATGGAAAGCATCAGGGAATTTTGCTGAGGCAGCTGGTTGTGGGGTGCCATAGACCTGAGCAGTAACCATATTTGTAGGATATGTAAAAGTGTTGAGGACAGTGTCTGGGAGTACAGCAGGATGTTTAAAAACAAGGACTCTGGGGCCGGCCCTGTGGCTTGGTGGTTAAGTGCGCGCGCTGTGATGCTGGTGGCCTGGGTTCGGATCCTGGGTGCGCATCGAGGCACCACTTCTCCGTTCATCCTGAGGCCGAGTCCTACATACAGCAACTAGAAGGATGTGCAGCTACGACACACAACTATCCACTGGGGCTTTGGGGGGAAAAAATAAAATAAATAAAAAAAAAAATCTTTAAAAAAAAAAAAACAAGGACTCTGATGTTAGAATGCCCAAGTTCAATTCCTAACACAGCTACTGTCTAGCTTGGTAACCTTGGGAAGTTACTTAATCTTTCTCAGCTTCAGTTCCTCATCTGTGAAACTGAGATAACAAAATGGAAAAGGTAGTACTGAACTGGAAGAATTGATACCAGTATCAAATCACATAATAAATGGAAAGCTCTTAATTTAGTGCTAACGCTCAGTAAATATTAGGCATTCCATTTTGGTATGTTTCACAGTTTTGTGTTCTCAAGTAACACAAATATTTTTGTATTAATTCATCTCCTGCTATATTCCTCCATTCAGGACTAGCGGAGAGTCAGAATTTTGTAGTTGGAAAGAATTTTAGAATTATATAATTCTATCTTTTCATTTATCAAATGAAGAGAATGAAGACCGGAGAGGTTGAATAACTTACACTAAGCCATTGCTTCTTAAAGTTTGAGAACCTCTATTACTATTACCAATGAGGGTAATAAATAATGGTAGCAAGGTATCTTTAAACAGTGTTTTATGGTTTTCAAATTGCTTTCACATTCATTACATGTCACTTGGTCCTCTCAACCTTCCTGCAAGATAAGCAAGATGGGTTTCTTTATCCTTGTTTTGCAGATGTGGAAAATAAGTTCCCTTAGGTAACTTTCTAGGTCATAATGCTAGTTCTTGGCTAGGCCAATGTTAGAATTCAAATCTCTGAGTCTCCTAAACTGAAAAACTTTTCTTGACTTCTTAAATCCTCATCTCAGATCTCTGGGTTTACAGGTATGTTTGTAGAGTTCATAGGACACAGAATTGAAAGGCACATTAAAAATGCTCTGGTTAGCTTCCTCACTGAACTCCACAGAGGTTGCACACACACCACATGACTTGCCCAAGATTGCATAGCTCTAATGGTGGCAGAGCAGAGACTCGACTTCTTGTTTCTAGTAGAGTACTCTTTACACTAAATCATGATGGAAACTCACTTTTTAATGTTATTTATAAAAGGGAAGGAGGATCAAGTATCAGTCTGAAGCAAGTCTGGTTTGGACCCCAAGCTAGGGGATTTTATTGCAAGAGATTCTAGAAAGAGGAGAACCAGAAGGGTCAAATTGAGAGATTTTGGGACCTTTAGGGCCCGTGGCTACTTGCAGGGATTTTGTGTTCGTTTTTTGAGATATTTCTCACCTGTGAACATTTTTTGATCAATGGCTATTATTAGGAAAATCATGTTCTCTTTATTCTTTGGATTGAAGGTCTCTTTCGTTTAAGACAACTGATTCACTAAAGCTAGGGGGCGAGGGTCAAGAATGTGGAGAGGGTATCTGGGCATTGCAGAGGGGTAGAAATGAAGAAGTAGGAAGCCTCTATCACAGTTCACTGGCACAAAAAGGAAGCAGAGATTCAAGGCAGATGTTAGAGATAGGAATAAAGATGGCATATATGGCTGGAGCAATCCTTATGCTCTATTCATTAGAAACCTTGATGTGGGGACAGGAGAAAGTGAGGAACCCCAGCAAAGGCTTATTTACACAGCATGATGGTTAAATTAACCGTACACATTTATTGAATTCAATGAATGAAATGAGACTCTCTCCAGCACACTCAAGGTAATTACAATTGTAACCACCACGTGTCCCAGTGGCATAACCCTAAAAACCATAAAGCTGGTACTCTCACGCAAGTGCATGTTCAAATGTCCCTTTATCAAACTCTTCAACTTCATCTTCCCATGTAGAGGAAGGCATGCTACTATACGGGTCCAAGAGGATTTTGAAGCATCTGATAATAAGCAGTCCCAAGAAGATACACAAAATCCCAACAAAAGCAAAGCCGGTTTTTTGCTCCAGAGTCAATGAGAAAGCTGATACTTCGTTGACACTCATCTTAGCTGAGGAGTTGCCACAGTAGGTACTACTCATTATTCACTGTCACATCATTGCGGCTCTTCAGAATTCCTGCTGGAGTCACCTCTTGGCCTAGACACAAAATTGGACTCAGTTTAGTTTTATCCATGTATGGTATTGGGCAAGTAACTGTTTTATAAAATCTGGCATTTTTCAAACCCTCACAAACTCACAAAAGATGTTTGAAAACATTATTATATATGGATCAGAATCAAGTTAGCATTGGAGATGCTACTTCTGTAGTAATTAAAGAATTGTCTTCCTGGACACATAAAACTGTGCCTCCATACTCTAAGTATAAAATTAAGTATGAAAGTGAATTTTCAAATAACCCTAAAAGCTTTTGATTCATTGAGAGATGGTTAAGTCACCGCTTCTTTGACCTGAATTGTCATCTAGTTTTCACTTCATTTTTGCGTGTACAGTTAAAGCCATAAATAATCATAGGGTGTGAGCTGGTCAAGCTCTCTAAAGGCCGTACGGCAAGGTCTATCTCCAGTGCCGTTTTATCCAATACAGATTCTGATCCTTTTAAACAGGTGTGATGCCTTCCCCTTTTTCACCCTCTTAGCTTTTATACTTATGTACTTGTATTTTCTTTTTTGCTACCACTCCATACACTAAATGTCAACTTCTTAAAGAGAGAAGTTGTGTTTTCAAAATTATGTTAAGAAAGCAGTCCCCAACATAGCAGCTTGCAGGTAACAAGCAGCAGTGGCCGTGGCCCATTAGCCATCTCTTTACCATCACCATTAGCCTTCAGAACACCCTAAAAAACATAAAATCCAAGTTAAACAGTACGTTTTCTAGGCAAATTCAGTTTCAAGACGAGCTCCTCAGTCTCCTTCCCAAAGAGATTCCCATTTCTAAGTTACTACTGTACTGAGATTCTAAAACTACAATAAAAATGTTCAGAAAGTGTGTTGAATTGAAACAAAATAGTTTTTTCCCATTTGATATCTTTTTTGTTTTTTTTAGGAAGATTAGCCCTGAGCTAACATCTGTTGCCAATCCTCCTCTGTTTTGCTGAGGAAGACTGGCCCTGGGCTAACATCCACGCCCATCTTCCTCCACTTTATATGGGACGCCGCCACAGCATGGCCTGCCAAGCAGCTTGTATGTCCATGCGAGGAATCCGTACCTGAGAACCCCGGCCTGCCGAACTGGAGCTCACGAACTTAACCGCTACGCCACTGGGCCAGTCCCCCATTTGATATCTTAATGTTAATTAAATGAGATAATTAAAAATGAAAATTTGTTAATTAAATAGAATGATTACTAACCCACAGCCACCCTTCTTGAGAGGACTGTCACCAAATAGCCTGCCGTCCAATAAGTGAGAATGAGGGACTCCTGCTGTTTTTTGTTTTTGTTGTTGCTTCTTCTGATAATTTTTAAGAATTATGTTTATTAAAATGACTGACTTCAGATTTTTTTGGATTCAATTTTCAGAAAACAACTGAAACAGAACAGGGATGGGAGATAAGGGGTGGAGAAAGGGAATAATTAAGAGGAACAGGCCTTGTAGCTTTTAAAATTATTTACCGACTAATACACCAGTTAATATCAAACAGTATTTTATTTTATAATGCTTTGGATTACAAAAAAGCTATATCTTCAAATCTTAAATGTCAGGAATATTCAATACATTCTGGAGTATGCTGGTTATTTGACTTTTTTGTTTAATAAAAGGAAAAAGACATTGTTTCAAATCCCTCTGTTGACTTTCATTTCACCAAATCATTTTTCTGCCCTAATAAGCATGGTATAGTGAATATAATTTTTTTTAAATTAAGGATCACTTAAGTGGTTCAGAGTGATTTTTCTGAAGATTGACTTCTTTTTGTACTTTATGTTTGTAGAAGGATAAATATATATATTTATATCCCATATAAACCCTATGATATTACTTTAGGCTCATTCAGCTCTTAAGACTTCCTGACAAGCAAACAAAAAGAGGCATTTTCTAGCTTTAGCAGTATAACACTCAACTCATTTGTCACTATTAAATTAAAACAAGATATATTCCTAGTAAGAGATACAAAATCCCTTGTATTTTATGTTGCAATTTATCTAACATATACCAGATAATGTTTTGTTCTTAGAATCTTAGACAATCTATAAATTAGTGAGTTATTTATCATTTTTAACGGAAAAATAGCTACTTCTCAGGTAGTGACCCCACTTCCTGGCACATTGTAGGTATTCAACAGATATTTGAATTGAATTAAACTGAATTTATTGAAGAATATAATTTTTGGTGAATAAAGTTCTGATTTAAAAAAATATAATTTGTAAACATCCAGAAAACATGAAAACACATTTAGTTAAAGTGAAATGAACAAGAAAACTTCTATTTGATTTCAAAAATTAGCCTTAAAGATAAATACCAGAATTCAGCAGCTCAGAGTTGTGTTTCCATTCTTTTTTATCAGAATGATTAATACAACATTCCCACAAAGACTCACATGATTTGTAGTACTCAAAGGTAGAGAAAGTGAATCTTGCCTAACAATCTTGTGAGTTTCCCTTTATTGTCTAAGGAAAGGTATGTAGCCATCACATTATTTTGGCATTGACTACCAGGAAGTACAGAGTTAAATTCTGTATGGAAGTACAAAGTTAAATTCTGTATTCAATTGTGGTAACTTTGGTTAGCTTAAGATTTCTGGTACTGTTCTGGTACTTTCTCTTCTTCCTCTGCCCCTGTCCTCCTCATTACTTGGCTGCTCCAATTACCCTTGGCTAAGAAAGGTAAGATACTTCAAAGATACTTAGCTAAGATAGTTCAAAGGCTTTTAGAATCAGGTGGGGGTAACAAACAATGAATGGATATACAGAGCCACTGTTAGTAAATGAATAAAGTCACCATTTTGTACAGTATCTTAGACGAATAGATAAATGGCTATTTCATGGCTTTAAACATAATTTATAATTTATTTGGTTCTCTATTGTTGGTACAAATATAGAAATGCAGTGTAGCTAGGACAATTGCTGAGAAGTGACCAAAGACTTTAAGGACTCAGTCAGGAAGTCTAAAGAGCCGAATGAGTTTAAGGTAGTATATTACAATGAACATAGCAATACTATTTTAATTATTCACTGAACAAATATATATATTGAATATCTGCTATGTGTTAGCACTGTTCTTGGTGCTAGAGTATAGTGGTGAACTGGATAACAATGTACACCTGCCATAATGAGTGTTATATCCCTGTGGAGGAGACAGACACAATTATTTTAAAAATATCTGTCTATCTATCATCTATCTATTTCTATATATTATGTCAGGTAGTCAGAGATTCTATGAAAGAAAGCAAAGTAAGTTAAAAGGAAAGAGAATGGTGGTGGATAAAGGGCACTTCTTTAATTAAAGAAGTCAGCAAAGGCCTCCCTAGGGAGACATTTGACATGAAGTCTGAATGTTGTCAAGAAAGGACCCATGAAAATGTCTGGAGGAAGAGCATTGAAGTTTGAGGAAACAGCCGTTGCAAAGGCTTTGAGATGGGAAGATTTCATAAACGATATGTTCACATCAAGAAATTGACCGATAAAGCATTAAATGCCCCACTGTGCAAGATAGTTTAACGGTATCGGATAACAAAGAAAAGGCAGAAGTATGTAATCTACTTCTGTCTTTTTAACCAAGGCAGAATGGTCTTTAGAAACGATCAAAAAATCAAACAATAAAAGGCAAAAAGAATGTAGTAGAATAGTGTTTAGCCACATTAGATGAGTTAAAACTCCCAGGATAAGATGATTTATAACTTGCATCTGCAAAAACCTTTCAAAGCCTTGAGAAATACCTGACCATGACAGTGCTACCAGAACTATGGACATGGACAGACAAATGTCTCAGTTTTCAGAAAGAGTAATGGGAATTATGAAAATGATATATGGGAAACTTGGAATTAGTCTTTGTTACAAGTCCATAATTAATTATTTAACAGGTGATTTGTTAGCATTTAAGAAGTCACTAAAAGTTAACATGAGTTTAAGAAGAAGTAATGCCAAATTCACTTCCTTTTTTGAAAGTTTCCTGCTAACATGGAGAATCAGGAAAAGAGCATGGTCATGGGTTGGTGATTTCAGCAATGCATTTAACAATCTCCCATGATATCTTTTGGGGGAAGATGGTGAGATATGTCTGGAAAATAGTATTTTTATGTAGATTCATAGTTCACTGAAGTGCCCTCATAAATACTGTGTTCTGTAATCATAGAGACAGCTCTCTAGGGTAGTGTCACAAAGATCTAACCATCTACATCCTCTTCAGTGTTTTTGAACAGTTATTAGGTTGAGACATTGAAATGACGATTATTAAATTTGACACAAATCTAGCCTGAAAACTATATGGTGGCTCACAGAATCAAGATTCAAGACAATTCTGATGACTAGAATTCTGGATTGAAACCAAAACATAAAATCTAATAGAAACACTTCTAAAGTCCTGTATTTAAGTGGGACAGAGGGAGATGCATCAATCCCAGATGGGGGAGAATTGACTTGGAAGTTCTTGTGAAATAAATCTGGAAGCTGCAATTAATCAAAAATTAGTATGAGCAGAAGATATAAGGCGTTTGCTTGAAAAATCAAATGCTAAGATTGAATAGGGTGCAAATGATAGAAGGTAATAATATTATTATTATGCATTGGTCAGGCCATATATATAAAGTAATATATTTTCACTATACTTTCATCCAAAAATATTTATTGAGTTGCTACTATGTTTTAGTAAACATGAAACCCTCTACTCAAAAAGAGTCTAACTTGTCAGAGAGAGAATCCAGGCACAAACAAGAATAAAACAGTGTAGGCTTCTACAAAGTCAATTAAAGGGAAGAGGAAACAAACTTGTACTTAATTTCTACTGTGTACCAAACACTGCTTTACATATGTTATTTATTTAATCCCCATAACAACCATACAGGGCTGATATTATTATCTTCAACATCTTGATGAAAAAAGAGATTCAAAGAGGATAAACAAATTTAGAGGGAATGGAGATTTCACACATTTAGAAATCAGGAAAATGTTTCTTGAAGAGATTATATTTGAGCTGAGTCTTGAAAGACAGAGGATTTAGACATGTGGAGAAGGAAACAGTATGACAATAAATATGAAGGCAAGCAAGTGATAGATTTGTTCGGAGGAGAGTAAGCATTTTAGCCGAAGCAAAAGGGAGTACGGGAGAAGTAAAACATTGGAAAGGTAGGTTGAAGCCAAAATGTGAAATATCTTGACTGTCAGGCTAACAATTTGAAATTTATTTGCCTATAGGCCAAGTGGCTTGATGACAAGACTGAAGTAGACATAGAATTCAGGGAGGGAGCATCGTAGGAAGGAAATGGTCCAGCTGAGAAGCAATAAGGTTCTAGACTAGGAAGTAGATGTGTGGAAGAGGGTATGGATTTGAAATGTTTATAAAGACACGAGGGATAGGATTTGGCAACTGATGGAATGCAGTGGGCCATGGAGAGAAAGATGACTCCATTCTATTAAGCCTGGACAAGTTTGAAGGTAGTGCTTTCATTAACCAAAATAAAGAAAAGTCGAGCAAAGTGTAAATTTAGAAAGTAAACAAAGAGTTTAGTTCTGTACTTAGTGTATTTGTGGGCTCATACCTGGCACATAGTAGTCACTCAATAGGCATTTTTAAATAAATTAATCCAGATCATTTTGTCCAGCTGGTGGGGAGAATATCTTAAATTGCTGGTGAGGAGAATATCTTAATGGTATTATGGTCAAATAAAGTTTGCGTAGAAGAATGCATCCAGGATGGAGAGAGTTCAGTACATAGAAGCATTTGCAGATCAAAACTTAAGAGAAAGAAAGAATTGCTGAGTTTTGCCTAGAAAAGGGAAGACCAAGAAAGACAAGAGCTGCATTCAAATGTTTGAAGTGTTATCCTGTAGAAAGCCAGATCGACTTGTTCTGAATTGATCCAGAGGGCAATTTTGTTGTAATTCCATTAAGGTTCTATTTGCAGTTACCAGAAAGGACTGGAGATGGAAGAAGGCTAGCAATGAGCCTCAAAGAATGCCTCTCTTATAAGGAGAAAACATGATTTGCTAGTAGAGTTGTATAAGGAGTGATCCGAGTCGTGAGTCAATCTGTACTAGGAAGTTCACCTGGAGCAAAGGAGGAAGATTCGCCCTGAGCTCACATCTGTGCCAATCTTCCTCTACTTTGTATGTGGGAATGGCACCACAGCACGGCCTGATGAGTGGTGTAGGTCCCCAACGGGGATCTGAACCCATGAACCCATGCCTCCGAAGCAGATAGCACCTCCGAAGCAGATAGGACTGAATTTAACCACCAGGCCACTGGGCTGGCTCTGAGGCTAGTGTTTCTAAAGGGCGTTGGTAAACAGTGTCAAATTCTGCAATGGTGATAAAAACTAAGCACCGAAAAACAGGGCCTTGGGTTTGGCATTCAGAACTTTTTCATCATTTAAAAATTTTCAGTTGAGTGTCCAGGAGGGACGCTTAATTGAAGAGGGTTTAGGAGTGATGAGTAATGAGCAAATGGAGTCAGATAGTAAAGGAAACTTGACAGAAAAGGTTTACCTGCACAAAAGTTAAAACTGCAGAAGTTTAGATCATTAGACTAGTTATTTCCAATACTAAGGACACGACTATATCTTCGTTTTTAAAAGTAGAGCCAGGTAAATTCACTCGGGGTTCAAAAAACTATGAAATTTCCATTTTTAACATAAAAATTGGGTTGAGAAGAGAAACAGCTGTTTCATTAACATCTTAAAAGGAAGAATTTAGACTTTTATATTCATCTTAAAATTCTACCTTATACTGAAGATGAAAACAAAACACAGGTCAAGGAGAACTGAAGGGATAGTATTCAAAGGTTGAAAAAAAAAGTCTGGCCATTGCTGCAGGCTGTGTCTACACAGCAAATAGGTAGAAAGTTAAGCAATTGCCTAACAATACGTTCAGCAAATAGATGCTCTTGGTAATTTAATCTATGTTTGCAGCAGCTGAAATACTAGTATTTTCAGGCCTAAAATTTTCAAATACTTGCCCAAAGTTTCCATTTTACTTGCTCTTTGAAATGAACAACTTGTCTCATTTCAACACCAAGTCTAAAGTTTTTGAGACTATACTGCTGTGTGCTGAGTTTAGCACCTTTCTACTGATATAGAGAATAGTATGATATAAAAGTATTAATAACAAAATATTGATAAGGGTAAATAGTTCAGTTACAACATTGATTTCTTCATAATTAATAAGGTATCCAAAATTAGTCAACAACTGTGCATAAAAGATGCATTTTCATTTTCTCTAATCCCTGGAAGAGACAGGAAAGCAAAAAAAAAAAAATCAGCAGGTTCTGCACAACAGACATTTTACTGCCTACTTCAGAGGGAAAACATCATCTTAATATCCTGTTTACTGGGAAATAGAAAATGAGAGAAATGTAGACCATGAAGTTACAAAACTATGAATAAATAAACTCTTGTGAGAAAAAAATAGTTGAGAAAAAAGAAATGAATTTTCCAAAAAAGGGTAGAATGTAAAATTGTGTGGTAAAAGTTATTTTAAATATGCTACACCACAGAAAAATGGGTAAAACTATCAACATTGTACAGTTTAAATATCAGGGTCTATATATACTATGATTAAAGTATTGAAGTATATTTTTGTAATACCACGGCAAATGATAAAATTCTGCCTCAAGCCATATTCACAGGAATAAATGTTTAAGTACTTTAGAAATGAGCAACTGAGTTGAAAACACATCATTTCCTTCATGGCCATTGTCAGGAACTGGGATTTGTAAGTCCTGATGAGTCATAGAATTGGGCCAAGGGTATACCTGGAGATACCAAAAGGCCCAAATCTCACTGAGTTGCTTCGTAGTTAGTAACCAATAAATAAACAAGGTCTTTCTATGATTAGTCACACAAATCATACCATTGTGAGCAGTCAAGCAAAGATAACAGTATTTTTACCTGATATATAACCTTTCATATATATGAATGTTGTATGTGATTTGTTTCTTCTGTGAAATAAGTTTACTGCTTGCAGTTATAAAAATTCACTTTTCAGAAACATATGGTTATTTAATTTGCATGCAACAATGTGCAATTGCAGAAACTAATATTGAAAAAGAACCTCCTGTATTTTATTTTAATCAACAGGATTTTTTCTCCTGTTTATTTATCTATTAATGATATTCCAAACAGTAAATCTGAAATAACAAGTATTATAGTGGAATGTGGTATTCTGGGTGAAAAGTATTTTGATACTGGTTGTTAGATATAATAATCTCTAATGATAATGACATGAACATTCATAATTTCATGAAATGAGACATATACAAAAACCCATGCTTAAAATATAGTGAATCCTCCCATAGATAGCCCCCACCAAACATCAAGGTTATTAAATCCCATTAAAAGTAAAGAGGGAAAAGAAACATTATTGAGGCCACATCTGCACAGAGCTAGTCAATCATTAGGAATAGAATGTGTTGGAATCAAAGGAAAATCTTAAATTACAAACCTAGATGTCTTCATCATGATGAAGTGCATAAATTTCGGGCCTTCCCAGGGATCCAAAACCTTAGGATCTGCCAGAATCCACCCCTCAAGCTTTTAGGTTTCAACCTTATGCGAATTTTCCTCTTAGAATCTTTGGATGGCTCCTCAAGGACTCTGACATTCGTTCCTTTCAAAGCACTGGAAACCTGGTCTGAAAATTCTCAAAATGTCTCACTAGAGAAACCTAGATGTCATTAACATTCTGTCTTGTCTCCAGTTCTCTTTGGACATATTAAACTGAAGAAGCATGGAAACCTCCTAAAAACATTATAGGAGAAGCATCAGCAAACTGACTGCACACACACAACGCATCCTCTTTTTTTTCTTTTTGGTAGCAGCAGCTGCAGCAGCAGCAATGGAAACATTATGACTCTTTATCCTTTAGAATTTGAACTCACCAGACCTGCAGGCTCCTTCCCCCCTACCTTCTTTCCCGCTCCCTAGCTTCAGAAATACAAGAGAATGAGGACATGCTTCTCATCTGGACCTGCACTGGAAACCTGTCCGTTAATGCGGAGTGTAGGGGGAGAAAGTTACTTCCCAGGCAGAGATGTCTCACCTTCCATGCTTGTTGCCATGGAGATGAAATCCAGCGAGTAGACTTAAGTTGACAGGTTTGTCTGTGTTCGCTGATCGGTACTAACAATGTAAAAGGCGTGTCCGGGGAACCTGCGTGGTCACAGGACCGTGGTTAGCGCTTTCCTGGCCTACGTGTCTAAATATCTGTATCTGGCGGTGAGAGACAGAGGACGTGAGCGCCCGCGAAGTACGTGTGCGCGCGCGAGTGTATTTGCAGGAAAATGTCCATGAATTTCTTCCATGTGGCAGTGTGTAAATATTTGCGCTCGCGTGCGTGTGTTTATGTGAGAGTGTCTGACCGTTGTGTGTATGTGCGACCGAGAAGAGGTGGGAAATGAAAGGGGGAAGGGAATGCACCACTGCAGCAACAGGCTCAATCTATATCTCAGTTCTGTTTAAAAGAAAAAAACATAGGCGCTCATTTTTACTCATATCACACTCTGCAGGTTAGCAATCGGAGTTCATCATCATTTGGCTTCCTACGGCAGTAGGGATTTAATTAATTTATTGTTAAAATCCCTGTTTTCCTCTCTTCGCTGCATCAGTGGCTGTGCCATGGTCATTTTGCTGTGCTCGGTGACTGCAGTCTCAGTTGAAGACCAGGGGCTAAATTCTTACGTCTTTCTTCTCATCCGATAAGAGAAAGACGGGAGTCAAAGTGTATTGGTTTAACTGAGGGCTGCATGCGTCGGTTGGAGTCGTTTTCCCCTACTCTTCGCCTTTTCTCTTCTACGCAAACCTAGCCGGATCCCCTCCCCTTCTTAGGAGTAGGCGCCTAGGCGCTGTCCGCAGTGCTGAAGTAATACCTCGCTCCCATATGCGAGCTAGAAGACATCAAGCGAGGAAAGCTCCGATAAAGCCCATATGCAGTTGCGAGACACGTTTTCTAAACAGTGTTGAATATATAGAATCCAAACGTAAACCGAATTGAGAGCAAAACAACAGCAACAACAAAAAACTTCTCTCCTCATCCTTACTTAGGCGTCTTGTCGTTCTTCAAACTCAGTTGTAAGGTTCCAATTCTATTCATGTTTGGATACTATATCCAGAACCTACATGTTGCTAACACCTGTAGATTCTCTAAAAACTTAATTATTGACCTTATGAATTATTAAATTGTCAACGATTGGGGAAAATGTAGATGCAGAATTGGGTCATCGTTTGTGTAAAAAAATGCTGAAAACACATAATGCAAAGGTGTGTTATAGTTCAATAATAAAGACAAATGTTATGGTGATTTAGAGTATTTACTAATTTAGGAAATTTCATGGTCTTACAAAAAATGGGCATTGTGTAACTGGAAGTTCATACAAGACTAGACTAAAAAAAGTTATTTTTCATTTAAAACTAGTAAACCCTATAATATAGATGAACTAACTGCTCACCAAGGAAGAGAGTGGAAGAAGTATCTTCCTCAAGTAACATGTTCCTAGCCATGGTTTTATTGACTCTTTTGTGTGTGTGTGTGAGGAAGATCAGCCCTGAGCTAACATCCGTGCTAATTCTCCTCTTTTTGCTGAGGAAGAGCGGCTCTGAGCTAACGTCTATTGCCAATCCTCCTCCTTTTTATTTTTCCCCAAAGCCCCAGTAGATAGTTGTATGTCATAGTTGCCCATCCTTTTAGTTACTGTATGTGGGACGCGGCCTCAGCACGGCAGGGGAAGTGGTCCGTCTGTGCGCGCCCGGGGTCCGAACCCCGGCCGCCAGTAGTGGAGCGTGCGCGCTTAACCGCTAAGCCATGGGGCCGGCCCTTATTGACTCTTTTTTAAAGCTCACTAAGGGTCACATCCTTTTTTTGTACTACGTGCTATAGCGGTGCTTCTTGAAATTCAATGTGCATATGAATTCCCTGGGGATCTTGCTAAAAGGCAAGTTCTCATTCATTAAGTGTGAAGTTAGGTCTCAGATTCTGCATTTCTAACAATATCTCAGGTGATGCCAGAGGTTGCTGGTCTCAGGACCACAATTCAAGTAGCAAGCTTCTAGAGATATTGTATTCTGACAATGCAGTCACTCCTAGAGTACGGGAAAGGAGGTAGTTTTCTTCCATTTTTATTCTGTATATGTTTCTAGACTGTTGCAAGAATATTCTATTCAAATAAATTCAGAGGTTAACCATTTTGTTTGCACAATATTAACAAACTGTCCATGAATTTGATCTTTTGATATTGATTTTGACATTGTCTGGACACATGCTACAGTTTACTCCACTCTGTTTTTCCATACTATGATCTGCAGTCACCCATTCTCTTTGCAAGCCCAGCTCAAGGAAGCAGAATTAAATTATATGATTCTACAGCTGATATATGGGCCCCATTCCAAGAATTTGTTACCATGGTTGGGGACTGACTTGTCATTTTATGACTTTAAATATGGCTCTGTAGTAAACGCTCATGATGCTGATTTCAAAAATCTGAATGTTCCAGATCTAATCCTCACCCAGTTTAGAAAGTGAGATAGAGTCGTTGTTTCATAGATCATTTGAGTGAATGCTGATCCATCATGTCATCGATATAATACACATATACTTAAAATTTGAAGGTTCCTGTGGATGGTTTTCCAGTTTCTAAAAAAAATCCATACCTACATCAGTTGATACAGTGCTTTCAGTCAATGCTTTTGAATTGATGCCAAAGGAAAGTTTTAACTATAAATTAGGTTCCTTGGTGTTGGTATATGACCTTGACCTTTTCAAAGCTCTATGGACAGTGGTGATGCTCTGGAAAGTCTGCAAAGTGGCTTATTCAGACAAGCATGATGGATTTTTAATCCATCATGTTCCACTTCCTTTGCTAGATGCTGGGATATAAAGATAGATGAGATTTGGTCTCTGCTTTTGATGAGATACATTGGAAAACAACATGGCAAGTTCTACAGACATCTATAGAAGCACGGAGATTAATAATTTATATTTTATTCTACATTGCCAAAGAAGTGATGAAAAATAGCGAAATAGATAAAACCCCAGAATACCTGTATTTTAGGTCCTTGTCAATGTTTTCTGCCCAACTACTATTAAAAAAAATGTTGAAAGATATGAAGTATATGCTCTTCTAAAGCACACACAGTTAATCTATACTTCTGTATAGTCTATGATTTATTTTCAGAGCAATCCAAATTATTAGAAAGATAAATATGTGAGTGGCATTGTTTAGACCTCGCCCAAACAGAATTGCCTTTTTTATGCTTTGACATTACGTTTTCAGCTTATGTACAAATATTCTATGTAAAATAACCCTCTAAGCATCTTCCACAACCTGCTCTATGTCTACTACAGGGTTGTTACTAAAGACTTGCCCAACACATTATTTACTATTTCTTATATGACATCCCTCCAAAAACATTTCTTTCAATACCAATTACACGAATTGAATTCTCACACCCCTCCTCCTCACTTAAACCATCCCAAGGAAAGTGGTGTGTTCTCTTCTTATACGCAATGTATATCATTGTAACTGATCACATTTGCCTTTTCTTTAGTTACCAGGGATAGTCAGAGTCAAAGTAACAGGTAAAAATTAGTAACTATAGAGCTGGCCCTGTGGCGTAGTGATCGAGCTCAGCGCACTCCACTTTGGTGGCCCAGGTTCATGGGCCCAAAGCCCTGGTGTGGACTTATACCACTTATTGGCCATGCTGTGGCAGTACAGATGTTAGCTCAGGGTGAATCTTCCTCAGCAAAAAAAAAAAAAAAAGTAACTATATAAGGTTTTATATTTGTGTTCTTTCTCTATTGCCTTGATTACTGCAATTTTGTTTTCTCAGGTATTGGTGTATTGTTTTCCTTTTATTATCGGTTTTAAGTGTGTCCTCATGTAAATGTCCTCATAAAATCAGAAATGGAGTAAATAAATTAAAAATAAGTAAATTAATTAATTAATTAATTAATTTGTCTACCTTTTGGCCAAAAAATGTTGACTACTGGGTGGATATATATGGTTGTTTCATAAATTTGTTTTTAACAAGATACTAAACTATGGGAAAAAATGACCATCCAGTTATGAAGATAAAAATCTAATTTATTATGATTAAATAAGAAACATTAAGCTAGCAGAAGAATATTTTAATTTATATAACTACAGATCAGCTTTATTTCAAAACACTTTGTTTCTCTGTTTCTCCTTCTATACCCTAAATAATGTCTCTTATATGACTAGGGCTTTTTGTTATGAGCAGAAGTGCTAATTATCTACCTTGTTAGAAGACATGGAAACTATAGGAATGTAAAGAGCATGACAGCCCCACTCTAATGAATATACTGTAGAGTGAGTCACAAAGAAGATGTCACTGAATATACTGTATATGTCACGAAGAAACTGAAAGCAAGAATTCCTCTAACAAGCCAGCTCAGGATTCCTTTCAGTGGAAAATTTTGCTTGCTATGAATTCTTGCCACCCTGTCTCCAGTTAACTTCTTGCTCTCAGGTTTTCTATAATGGGATCGTCTCTTAAATTTATTAGGCCAACGTGTTACCTTCAGCTTTTCATGGAAATCTACATCTGGTCTGGCTGAGGTTTGATTATTCTTTCTGAGCTAAAATTTTTAAATATAGTGGTGTCTTTTATTTGAAATGTTGCTATTTATTCAAACATTGGATATGACAACTTTCAAATGCAAAACTTTTTGAAAAAATGTGTTAAAGACAAATATAAATTACTTTTGTTATAAACATTTAAAAAAATTAATCCAATGCTTGTTTGGCTTTATTTTTTTTTTAAAGATTTTATTTATTTATTCTTTTCCCCTCAAAGACCCAGTAGATAGTTGTACGTCATAGCTGCACATCCTTCTAGTTGATGTATGTGGGACGCGGCCTCAGCATGGCCGGACAAGCAGTACGTCAGTGCGCGCCCGGGATCCCAACCCGGGCCGCCAACAGCTGAGCGCGCGCACTTAACCACTAAGCCACGGGGCCGGCCCTTGTTTGGCTTTAGATGGTAGTAGATGACTAGCTATATCCAAAAGTCAACTGTTTATTTTTTAAAAATGCATTCCTACATATTTTGAGAGTCACTTTTAGCTACCCATGCCTTTTTCTGCTACATAGGTAGATTTGATCTTATTGGAGGAATAAGAATGATTTTGAAATTCCAATAAAAAATATATACCCTCTCCCTAAAAATACACATATGCAGATAATTTTGCTCACAAC